CTTAGTTATTGATTTATTGTGTTCAGTGGCTCCTCTTGTATGTTGAACATTATTTAGCATTTAGTTAAACTGTAGGTCTTACACGGAGGTGGGGAGAGTGGGAACATTTCAAGTTAGAAAAAAGCAAGAGTCAGACCTCTTACACAGAATGCAACAGGTCTTGTGTCTGCATGGCAATATAGGTTATTCAGGCTATACTGTCAGTTGGATTTCCTCCCTCTTTTACATTTGAATTCCCCATATGATTTTTAAATGCCAGTGCAAAATTTTAAGTCTAGACAGAACAACTTGAACTTTGAGCATGAGGAACTGATGCTGTTTACAACAGCATTTTAAGGCTTCAGATTGTTCCCTCATGGCTCTTAATGAGTCATACCACCTTAAGCGGCAATAATTGTTATGGAAATATGGCAACATAATTCTGGCAATATCTTGCCTGGAATCAGACATGTAGACAACACGAAATTTGTCACTTGAACAGCACCTGAATCAATTATTACTTCACCTGTTATTGAAGTTTTGATTTAATTGAATTTTAATTTGATTCTTATTGGAAGCTCGAGACACTTAGTCCATGCCCGGCACTTGTGTCGGAGAAGATAAGACATCTGCAGAGGTTTTCTTTTTCAACTCAGTCAAATTTTTGTCACATAGTGCTCTGGTCTGAGTACACTTTAGTCTGAGATTAGTTCCAGTAAATTTGCTGCAGAAAAATCACACCACTACTGTGTGGGGACCGTTTGCACAACTTTCTGTTTAAGGTCTCAAATTCTGTGGTGGAAAAAGTATTCTGACCCTTTACTAAATATAAGCAGTAAAATATAATTCTTGTATGGAAAGTAAAAGCACTTGTTCTGCAGGAAAATGTCTTTTCCCAGTATTATATCATTATCTTTGTATTATTGGATTAGTTTTAGTTATGCATCAGTGTGTAAGCAGCATTTTATGTTGCAGCTGGTATAAGTAGCTGATTTTAAGTTTATATATTGTAGTAGATTAACCTATAGCAATGCATTCTATTTAGAAGCTTATATTTTGTATATAACAACTTCATTTGCAAAGTAACTAGTAACTACTGCCGTTAAATAAATGTAGTGGTGTACAACATTTGTGCAACATTTCCTTCTGAAATGCAGAGAAATATAAATATAAAGAAGCATAAAATAAAAATGGTAACACTCAAACAGTATTGTAAAAGTCCACTAATGTATGGTACTTGAGTAAATGAAGTTAGCGACATTCAACCACTGCTCAAATCATCTCGAGTAACGTTAAGACTTTGTGGTATACAATTCCTACTCAATTACTATTTCCAGCACTTTTAGCAGTTTCAGTTTGAGCTCCAGTTATTATAAGCTCTTAAAAAGTAGTGATAATTGTGTGAGGATGTTGATATACAAATGACATTGACGCATGTAAAAGTAGAGTCAAATAACAGTACCAGTGAATCCAGTATTGCCCAGATAGACTCTATAGTCTATAGGAGGACCTCTGGTGTTCACTCAATGTTATTGCAGTATACTGTGATTTTTTTTTTTTTTCCCCCAGAGTGAGATGGGCACTTCTCTCAGAAGCCTATTATGTGGTGATAGGACAGCCCAGGAGGAGTCAGCATGTTAAATGTCTTCACTACACAACATTAAGTTAAGCAAGTAATTGTGTGATTATGCCCAGCTCGTAATTGTATGCGTATAAGGCAACAAATGTGTCCCAAAATGTCAATCCATTTAGGCAAGCATAAAGTATATGAATGAAGTGCAGAGGAACTGTGTAGTGCTGACTCACCTTACAGTCTGATGATAGTCTAATTTAGAGTATTTATCATCAGTCACAATCATTACTTCTGCAAAGCAAGTATGTGACTGCTCAATTGTTTGTTACCAACTTAGTGCACATTCACAGTCTGAAGACAATGAATGAAAACCCTATGACATTTTCTCTGGCAGCCCACATTTACAGTTCAGAAACAATACGTCTCTTGACTGATTGGTTGTAAACAGTATTTTCTGCGCACATTCATGTCGTCAAGGGGAGAAACCCTGTTATTTGCAGCCCTACAGTACATGGCACCAAGAGAAATTCAAACTTCACTGTGACATTTCCATTGGTCACATTAGCATTTCCTCATCATTCAGGTGGTCTGTACATGCCACCATGACAGATAATAAAAGATAATATACTTTAACAGTTTGAGTAGGTAACATCTACTGTAACTGTTACTTGATATTGATTGTATGGTGGAATGCTGGTTTCCAGTTAATGTGAACAATGTGGGGTGTGCGGTCAGGCAAAGTCAGACAGCAGGAGAAGTAGAAGTCCAATTTCATCCATTACAGATTCATTGCAGTCTTTCAAGGTTATATGCACAGGGGACAGGGAGATGGCAGGCAATTGTTGCTGGTCATGAGTTAATTCCATTAAAAAAAAACATATAAACTTGGAACTTGAACATAACTAATAATCTTATACTGCAAGGTTTAAACAACAAAGGAACTCACATTACACTCAGTCAATCAACTGTGACCAGGAGAGTCCAGGGTTCTGCTGCAGGTAGGCAAAGGGGCTTGCACCTGAAGTCAATCCTTCTTATAACCTCTAATCCAGCCCCTCCTCCTTCCTGCTGCTCCTGAGGCAGCTCCTCCTCTAAACCTGCTCTTCACTACTTCTACAATGTTTCATTTCTCCAAAGTATACAAGAAACTGAATTCATCACTTTGATTTGGACTGCCAGGGGGAACAACTCAGCCATACTTAATAGAAAATATAGTAATTGATACAATAGATTTTAACTTAGGACCAGGATGGACGTCTTTAGTTAGAATGTCAGTGATGAGGAGAAAGACAAGTTAGGTATTCTACTCCCAGGTGCCAGTTTATTAGGTAACCCTAGATAACACTAATACAGGTCCTGCAGTAAGTCCTACCTTCATGAAGGTTGTAATGTTCAATTTTTTGTTGGAACTGTTTTAAGATGTTGATTCAACTCTGATCATTTTTGGAGGATGTAGTTTGTGGTGCTGTTGAACTGCATCACAGTATACTGTGCAGTGAGGTGCTTTTGATATTTTTGATATAAATGGGGTGAACAAGTTCAACAGCACCACAAACTGCAGCCTCCAGAAAGATCACACAGCTAAATCAACACCTCTCTGAAGCAGTTTCTACAAAACCTGAACATTATAACCTTCGTGAACAGTGTAGGAGTATCTCATAAACAAGTGACTGTGGTATGTTTCAGGTCTTTAAAAAGATTTTGAGGAATTGACTTTGTTAATATAATGCTATGATGTTAATGCAATATAATAAAATGTTAATATTATTTTAGTCACTACTACAGTATTGCTAAAGTTTTATGATCAGTTTTTTCTGAGTAGAAAAAGAAAATGCTAATTTGTTATTGAAACTATTGCGAGCGTGTTTTAGAAAAGCGACAGACATGGAATTAGAGTCTTATTTCAACATCTTAACAAAATAAAAAATTTTAATGTGTAAAGGTAACTGCAGGACACACACATACCAGAGTACATAGATGCAGACACTTATCACTCAGTTTAGAAACATTTTCAGTTTAGAAACTAAGTCAAATGGGTAGAAATGTATAAAAATAGAATGTGTGACGTTGTGTACTGCCTGAGTCACTGTGCTCTTTTCATTCTGGTATCCACCCACTGTGTCTTGCAGAACTGCAGCCCCTTCAAGTTGGAAGGAAGTCAAGTCTGTGACTGGATTTAGCTTAACAGACTTCCATGCGGTTTCTTATTTCTTATTGCATTTATTACCTGTAATCCAAAGTGGTTTCTCACTGTGTGTGTGTGTGTGTGTGTGTGTGTGTGTGTGTGTGTGTGTGTGTGTGTGTGTGTGTGTGTGTGTGTGTTTGTGTGTGTGTTTGACTAGTAAAACAGTATATGTTTGGGTAGACAAAGCACAACAGTATTGCTGTATTAAGTAATATATTCAGTATGCTGAATATTTGATATATGAATCATGGATGGGAAATGAATAGGAGACATCATAAATGGATGACTAAATGACTTGGCGAGAAGCACTGTAGGGATGAATGACTGAATGCTCGTAAGGGCCATTATATACTTGTGAGGAAAGTTTGAGCCATGATTCATAGTCTCATTCTGCTGTGTTTCTTTTTACTTTAAGGAGAGAGTTCAATTTGTATTCAGCATAAAAAAATCCAAACAAGAAAAACAATTTTGTAGTTGTTTCTAAGGTTATTCGGAAAAATGTCTGATGGTGGAAACTTACTTTCTTTATTGCGATATCTTTCCATTTACTCATAAATTCAACCAGACTTGATTCCCTTAACTAGTTTGAATTGACAAGTAGCATGATACGTATAATAAAGATTTTTTGAAATCATCTCTTGTACAGGTTCTGCTCACAAGTCCTCCCATGATTTAGGAGCTTTGATAACTTTTCATAATTTAATAGGCTTTAAAATCTGACATTAAGGTGTATTTTTCGGTGAGTTATTCACCTATGAATTTACTAGAATATTTTCCATTATCTAAACAATGTTAAACTATTTTGAAAATTTGTATGACGAACAACTACATGGTAATCAGTGTTTTTTATCAAAGCTTTGCAAAAAAAAAAAAAAAAAAAAAAAAAAAAAGCAAGTAAAGTTGGTACATGTCCAATTCTGCTGTGAGGTCCATCTGGATGGATTACCATCAAATTTTCATTTGCATTTGAAAGAGCAAATCTTTCCCATAATCCTTCATTGCACTTCCGCAGTAAAAACAGACGTTACAAAGCTGCTGTTGCTTCTCAGCGTATACTGACATTTCCCTCGCTTTAGGTGCTCTTATGCCTAATCTCTCATCATGCTACGACACTCTTCTATCACACACTGTGTGATACAGGGCTACTGCAGCACTTGGCCCTTGTCAGCTTTTGGCCACATTTTTTTCATTCTCATGTTTTATTTTATCCTCTACCCTTGTCTTGCCTTGTCCTCGTCCTCTCATCCTGCTTGTGCTATCCAGCGGTATCATATCCTCCCAGTTACAAGAAGACTCCACCTCCTGTGCCCCCGCGCACCACCACCAAGCCTCTTATCTCTGTGACAGCCCAGAGCAGTACAGAGTCCACCCAAGATGCCTACCAGGAGGGCAGGCATCCACGGGGCGGTCTGTGGACCACGGACAGCCTCGGCCGTCCCATCTACAGCTCCACAGACAGCCTGGACAGCACCAAGGCGGTTACCATGGCCATGGAGTCAGCAGCAGGCAAGAGGCATGCATCTTTGGGCAGCCACACCTCTGTCCAGACATGCGACAAAGCAGTGCTGGTGTCCAAGGCAGAGGAGTACCTCAAAACCCCACGTTCCTCTATTGGGATACAGGTAACAACATAAGTGAGAGTGTTACTCACTGCTGCTCTCTTTCCACTCACCACCCAGCCTTCATACTAATTACACCAACCTCCTGTCTTCTTCTGTCTGGTGCTGGCAGCTGAAAGGATAATACTCTTGTTCTCATTTTGATATTCACATTGTTAATATGTAAGAGAGCTGTCCAGTAGAATCCAGAGTAAAAAGCTCCCCAGGCTCTCAAGTCGTATACATTTTAATCAACCAAATACAATGGGATTGCAGATGTCACTATGGATCACTCTGGATGAAAAACAAAAAACAAAAACCAGTGGATTATGAAATGACAAGAGGACTAGGTTTTATTATGGAAAACTTTCAGACTTCAAAATGTTGAACAGGCAATAAAACTACAAGTGTGCAAATTAGTTAATATTGTCATTTTTAAAATGCTACCAATTCCCAAATGCACCAAACTATGTCGAAGTACAAGGTTTCGGAGTCTTGTTGACCTTTACACATGTCAGGACGTACATTCACCTGGAGAGGACTCATTCAGAGGCACCAGCAGTGAGGAGTAATATAACAATCTCTCTTCCTCTCTCTGATGCAGGTGGTGATTTTTGTGCTTTCTCACTGCCAGCTTATACTACCCCCCATCACATTGCCACCCATACCTGAACAAAGAGCTCCACCACAGTATAAAGAAGCAGTCTGTTCTGTGAGCTCACTGTCTGACTAACTTAGGTTTTTCTAGCCTCTCCTGAAGCCAACTGTCCTCAGTAGTTAGCCCCAACTTTGGAGATAGCTGCCTGTGCGGACCATGTTGTTCCTGCGGGCAATCCTGAGCATTGTGTCCAAGAAAATGACACTGTGCCAGCAGTGAAACAGAAATCCACCCTAGGTGATAATTCTGTTGCAAATTTTGTCGTCCCCTCAAATGAACAGTTTCACTTGTACCAAAATCCTTGATACAGTCGATCTTACTGTGGTCCTCAGTGCCATCTAACCAACTGAAAACAATGCAGCTGTCCATTTGAGTCTCCAGTTCGAAACCTTGAAAAACACCGAATTCTATCCCATGTATTGTGCTATATGGTTATAACAGACTGGTCTCGTCTCTGATTCATGCATACTGTAAGTGCTGGTTTCTTACCTACTGGTTTACCAACACCTTCACCTGCTGCAGAGCAGGGAGAAGGAGTGGAGAGTGTCAATTCATTCCTGACTGCCAGACTCTCTTATGGTCCTTAGCAGTTGTAGGTATGAGCAAGACTATAACAGGTCTCGATCTTTCAAATGAGCTATTTTGTGACTTTTGAACAGACATTTTCAGTTGTTGGTTTGCAAAGAGTAGATTTTTGGATATGTTAAGAGCCCCTTTCAAAACCAGCACTCCCACTTACCAACTCGTTGCTGGCTGAAAGACAAAAATAGAAGCTTGAATTCTGTGTGATAAGTGAAAAATTAAACTCAAACTAAGCAACATGTAACACACTTCTAAATGTCAAGCTGCCCTTTTGAATGTCAGTTATGTGTGTCTGTATTTCTGTTGTGAATGATGATGATTTGAAAGTGTTCTGTTATGTGTATTTACTAGGTGGAAACTGTGACAGATTCTGAGACTGAAAGTAAAGGCCTTCCTCAGTTCCATTCGATAGGGATCCAGGTGGAGGATCAAAAGCGGTATGTCGCACAGACACAGCAAGTTCTTCTTTGTTCTCAAGTAAGTATATTTACATTTCATCACTGTCCTTATTAGGCATGGGCGGTTCAAACGCTCAAACAGTGTGACCACTGCAGTGCAAGCAGACATGGAGCTGGAGGGCTTTCCCTCCATGGAGGACAAGGGCCTGCAGTTCGGTGGCGCCTTTGGTCGCCATTCTGAGCCCAGCACGCCCACGCAGTATGGGGCCATCCGTACGGTGCGCACACAGGGCCTGTTCAGTTACAGGGAGGACTACCGGCCCTCCAGTGGGCCTTCCAGCCCACAGCCTGAACCCTGGCTGGTCGAGCCCAGCCTGGAGAGCACTGAAACAGGCCGCGTGTCCCCTCTTCGCAGGGATGGCAGCTGGTTTATGCAGCTCCTTCACAATGAAACCAAGCGTTTGGAGGGATGGTGCAAAGAGATGGAGAGAGAGGCAGAGGAACATGACCTGTCGGAGGAGAGTGAGTGTCCTGAGGGAAACTACATTCTTGTCAAAGCAAGGGCTGCATTTGTTGTATTAGGTCAATGCTTTTATGATATGTACTCTATCATATAGGTATAGATTAGTTATACAGTATAGCCGAAGAACATTCACAGTATTAGCTGTAGCATGTTGAGTATGAAAACACTGAATCGTGATGGGCATTTTGTGACCAGATTGGATCCTTGCTCAACATGTTCAACCTTTGCCAAGCTGGCAGTGGTTAAAACAGAATCTTTCTCTTTCTCTGTCACTTTTTCGCTGTCCCTCTCTCTCTTTCTGTGCATGTGTGTTTGTGTCCACCAGTCCTAGGAAAAATCCGGAGTGCAGTGGGAAGTGCTCAGCTACTCATGTCTCAAAAGTTTCAGCAGTTTTACTGGCTATGTCAGCAGAATCTGGTGAGTACTGCATGTTTTTGTGAACAAGACCACTGTATCGACCTACATGCTGCTATTATGTTACACATACAAACACAAAAGATCGGGGATAAACTTGTTGATGGTCTTCTCTTTCTGTGAGCTCTGAGTAGGTGCTCGGCCTGACGCTGCACTTGTGCACTTTCCAGAAATAGACCACAGAGATCGATAGTGAAGCAGTCCCTCTGCTGCTATTGACCCCGCAGTAAACGAAAGGGGAATTCCAATAGGAAACAGCACCTGTGTTGAGGCTATCCATTAATGCTCCGAGGCAGCGGTTTGAATGGGATCTCAGAGTTTGAATAATGGACTGCCTCACTGTCTCACTGTTTAGTCCTCATGTCACGTCGACTGGAAACTCATACCTTTTCTAATGCTAACTATCCACAGAGTCAGCATATATTAGAAGATGGTGGTGTCATAAGTGGGAATGTTTCTGCAGATACAGTAGAGAGAGACGGTGACAGAGACAGGCAGGCACTTAATCACACCTCTCTAAAGCGTAGCTAATTTTTTAAATGAAATGCAAAACCTTGTGGAGGTGGTTGAAATCTGCCTGCCCTCTCACTGCCTTGTGTTGTTATATATATATATATATATATATATTTGTGTGTATATGTGTGTGTGTCTTAACTCGGTGCGTTGCTCTCTTTTGGATGGATTTGGGCTGCACACTCTCCTTCTCTCTCCGTAGATAATGGGATGATGAATTAAGTCTAACATTGGTAGTGACAAGCCTTAGATTGCCCTGAGCCCTCAGACATGTCTGAATGAGAGAACGACTCGGTCTCCCTGCTGGACGGAGGAGGAACTGCATGATGCTCTGAATGTGCTTTGAAGTTTGACTTGATAGAATTTTTCATGGTTTGGACTCACACTCATGCTTTGTTTGCAGTCAGAGATAATGAGCACATGGCTGTATGGAGCTGCCTGATTTTGTGAGTTGTCATTTGCACCACAGAAATGCTGCAACTCTGAGGACTAGATTTTTGTCATTTAAATTTCATAGAATAGTTATCATTTTTCAAATTTACATTACAATACAATTCAAATTCTGTACACACTCGTTGGACCAGAAAGAAAAATCTGAAGAGTGCACACACACTATATATGATGCCTGATTTGAGGTAATGACCACTGGTGAATAGCTTGTCTCTTTCCCTCTCTGACAATATTCTCCACTGCATGAGGCCATAAACTGACCTTTGATAATCATTAATCATTGTTGTTGCTACAGTACACAATGGACCACACTGGCTGCTAAAAAAGGATGCCACTAAAGGCAGTTAAAGGAGGTGCCCAGGAACTGTCAGTTGAGGTTATGAACCAATGTTGATGCTGTACTGCCACACTGTGGTGGGAAGGGTGTTGTTCACACGCAGAGTCTATGATATAGTCCCCCCCCCCCCCCCGAGTTATTTACATAAAGTTTTGACATCTTGCTTGTTTTTTTAATCTAAGTTTAGTATGATACAGATGGTATAAGTTACAGAACAGGTAGCATATGTCTAAAGCTATTTAAGTTTGTTTACATCTGTAATCAGTGTTCAGTTATCCTGCACATAACTAAGACAAGAAATCATTTTACTTAAAATGCAAAATGAAAACCTCATTACATGTTGTACTCCACCGTCTCTTCAGGACCCCAGTGCCATGCCCAGACCCACATCTCAGGACCTGGCTGGATTCTGGGACCTCTTGCAGCTTTCCATCGATGACGTCACTGCCAAGTTTGATGAGCTGCAGCAGATCAAGAGCAACCAGTGGCAGCTGGTGGAGAGCCCAGAGAAGAAGGTAAAGCCGGTAGCTGTTTTCACCAGGGATCCACGCTCTCATAGTAATTAGTCTTAATGGACTCTAGATGAACTTGCTCGGTTCGGGGGGAAACTATACCAGCAACATTTGTGTTCCTGTTTTAGGCTTGTGCCCAGCAGGAGGTTAATCATTCTTATCATAACACTGCAGGAACAAGCAGCATCAGTTTAGCTTAGAAAAATCTAAAGGCATCGTCTAAAAAGTTTATTTTCCCATTAAAACCATCAGGTGTCTCTCCAGAATAATGTTATCATCACTCATCATCTGATTCATATTGTCATGCATAGTAGCTCACCTCGTTTTCACCAGCATTCAATCCAGCTGTCCTCGAATGTTAATGAAAATTCATACAAACTGTATGATTTTGAGATTCCCTATTGTCAGACCAAATAACAGTTGAACAAAAGAAAGACTATTATTTTTTGTACAGCATTTAAATGCATACAACACTTTGCATTCAGTTTTTCCACTATCATGATATTTCCAGTCGCAATTTATGGACTTTGCTTCATGCAGAGAACTTGTTAGGTCTCTACATACACGTTAATAAAAGCAGGATAGCTTAGGCACTTTTTTCTTATTGACAGTTTTCCTCCAATATATGTGTATATTTAAAATATATGTGACTTGTAGGGTATGCAACACTGCTTTTACAACAGTACAGTAGTAGTGATATGTATCCTGAAGCAAGTGTTTTGAATGTTATAACAAGACAACAAATATCAAGGTAAGTGAATTGTCAGTAGACTTAAAGGAGCTATTTGTAAGTTTTGCTAATGCTACATAGCCAATGTTAGCAATAACAGCTGTTTACTTACCAGTCAAGAAGAAATGTTGTGAGTTCAGCATCAAACTTCATTCCTTTGTTTGCCAAGAGCTGTCTAAACACAACCCCGATGTTAACTCATGTCTTCTGTCATACTGATGTTAGCATGCTAAGCAGCTAGCCCTGGATCGTCTTGTCCATTTCCGATTGCGACTCATTGCAGTAAACGCAACATTTTGCCGGAGCACTTGTCAAGCGACAATCACCACTACCTGCTCCCGGCAAGAAACCACGTTCAGCAGCAGAGAAAACTTACAAACAGCCTCTTAAATAGAGACTATGTTTTGAAGAGTAGGCTATGTCTTTCTTTTAAAGCTGTAAACATGGTTTTTTATAGCGTTTGAACGAAGGAATTGGCAGCTGCATGTGAAAGAGTATGTCACAGTACACTGGACAGGATTCATAAACATGGTTAGCTTATTGCTAGATGGCGATTTACAAATATCAATGAAAATAAAAGATATTAAACTGTTAAAGATGAAAAGCCATTTGGTTAAATCGCTTGTACCCAACAGCTGAAATGAAAGCACATTGGTCAGAGTAGTGCTTGTAGATGAGGGAGGAGCATTTGTAAAAAGCACATTTAGATGGTAATGTGTTTTTAGAGATAGACGAGATCCTTCAGGGCACTTGGATAATTATCTTCATGCTACAGTTGTAGTTGTAAGGGAGTTATTTACCTCCAGCAGTTAATGGACACATTGCAAGCTCCATGAAGCTGAGCCCTAACAGTGACACAGATGCTCTGTATTGGGCTTATCTCCTTCAAGGCAGGCACCATTTTACTCTATCACCAGCTTGCAAAGCAATCAGAAGAGCTTGCCTTGCATTCAAAAGTTATTGACTATCAGTCTGTTCAACTTTGTAGGTCAAAAGGATGAAATTCTAGTGCCGTCTTAGGTTAATGTGATTTTCAAACAAGCTTTGCATGGGTAATGTTCTGGCTACATAATCAATAAGGACTGTTTATATAGTGTTTCTTATTGTCTTTTGTTTTAGCATAAACTGCCCTTGGATCAGATGAGGCAGATTTTGTTTGTGTTTTGTTTTCTGCTACAGTGTCTCAGTAGTAGCAAGAATGAACTCTCATATTGTGGTGGTGAATATAATTTTCTGTCCTCAGGGGGTCTGGGGCACAACAAGCTGTGATACCAGAGCTCAGGCAAAGTGGTCTGGGTCTGTCCGTGATACACACAATTACCCAAGATACCAAGAGTCCATATATTAAAGGCTTGTAGTCAAATTTAGCTAAAGCTACACACCATTTCATGAATGAAACTCCTCTGAGTATTAAATTCATCTGCACTGATTCAACATTCATCATTTTCTGCCTGATTTTCTTATGACGTGAAGCCACTCAGGTAGTTTTTCATCTGCTGGATAATATCTCTTCTCGCTGGTTCTTGTACTTAGCTGGATAAATGGTATCCCTTGTTTTTCCATAATGGGATAATCATTGACTAAACTAAAGAAAACAATATATAATTACTGGAATAAAAAAATATTGGTGTTGTCAATTTTACTGCGTGTCCATAAAGGGAGTCTGATCCTGGTTTCATTGACTTCATAGCAGAGCAGTTATCAAATTATATTTAGATTGATTGGTCTATTCATAATCCATTAAGTTTAAGGACTTTTAAAAGAATTGGTCTATAATTTATATTATCTGGCACTCAGCGACACTCATAACAATATTTGAGCTGTAGACCACTGATTGAGATACACTGTTAATCTGTGAATCCACTAGCTCTGAAGTATGTTGCTATAATAATACATAATTTGTTTAATCATGTCATCTTGTCTCCTAAGGAGCGGAAGTGGCCACCACCTCTGCCAAAGCGGCCAGCCAAGGGGCGTGGCGGTGTGACGCGGGAGCGCTCTCTGGACCTTCAGGACCGCCAGCGACAGGAAGCCCGCAGACGCCTCATGGCGGCCAAACGAGCAGCTTCTTTCAGACAGAACTCAGCCACAGAGAGGGCAGACAGCATTGAGATCTACATCCCTGAAGCCCAGACACGGCTTTGAGGTCCATGGATTCATCCTCGGCTCCTCTTGTCCACCTCCACCCAACACCAGCTCGTGGCGTCACATCCAGCCTCCCTCTGCCGTCATCATCTGTCACTGCTCGTCCACTTTGTCATCATCCATTGCCATTCTCTGGGTTGTCCCCACTGAAGCTACACTAGGCAAAGATTTCAGCTGAAAGTCCATCCTTCTTATTCAGCCTAAATGACAATGTGGCACTGCCATAGGGAAGAATACCACATCTTTCCTGAGTGAGAGGTCAGGTGAGCCAGTAGAGTCAGGTGTCAGGTGATATTTTTCCCACAGGAAGATAAAAATCAAACATTTTGATTGACACCCAAGCTGTCTTCACAACAGTAAAAACTGGACACACCAGCATCAGACCTTTTCCCTCTTCTCCCTCTGGTATTGTTTGGATAAAAGTGATCCCAGGCTGGCCTGATTGGTGAACATGAGTGTTTTTATCCAGTTTATTGAGGTGATTTATGGGTATTTAAGGCAAAAAAAAAAGTTGTCATTTACATGTCTCTGTCACCAGGAGCTGCTAACAGGAAGTTGCCTAGTGTAGCTTTAAGCCCACAGGGGACTTTTTTTGCCACAGATTCTGCATCATGAGAATGAGCTGCTATACGGCAAATAAACATTTCACTTGATATTAATTTTAACTACATCAAATGAATTTAGTGTTGTTTGTCACAGCCATTATTATTATTATAGTAAAACTGCTGTCTTCTCCGTCATTGCCATCACCCCATTGTGAGTATGGGTAATGCTATACTTGCCCCATTCAAAGGGAAACACAAAGTGCAACTTTTCTCTCACCAGCAACAATGGTCTTGGGCTAAAGCACCCTGTGCAAAGTTATAGCAGCAGCAGAGATTGATGCTTCCCACGGTGATGCATCTTAGCAAGATGGAAAAACCTCTAAAATTTTTTTAAAAAACATAGAAAAATGCTGCCCAGTCTTTTTTATGGATGTGGTTAAAAGCTAAAAACAGTTGATTTTCTTTTTTCTAAATTTCCTGCCAAGTTTGTGGTTATAACATCAGAATGGGTGGGGGAGTAAAAAAAAAAAAGAGTTTGACTGAGGTGCTGCACAACTGTAACCCATACTATCTATCAATCTAGCTATGTTTCTATCGTCCCTCCATCTTTAACCAGGCATGCTGCAGCTGTTGACCAGTGTTGCTGAATGAGATCTGAAAATAAGGCTAAAACTCCTCGACTATCATCTCCACATTTCTTCATTTTCATTCATATGAAACCATCTCCTCTTAGAACTCAACATTGTTTTTTATGATATGTATGTTATTTGCTGCTGGATACATTTCCATTGCAGAACAAATATGAATTATTAACAAAAGACAGTTTTGCGCAGCCTGGAAGAGGTGACTGTATCAAACAATGCATTTTGCACCTTATAATATTCATGTTTGTATTTCCAAGGGAAATGTAGTTTATGAAGCTCATGTGATATTGTTGCAGTTGAATTGCAAGGACAGATATGGAAAATTTACTACAGAATTTCATGTTACTCTATAGGTCATATAACCTGCACCTTGTGTTGTTCTGTTTTCATTTCTTTCTGGTGGCGTTCAGGCCTCTCACAGTTACACTATTGTGATTCTAACACTTTTGATTATACTTACAGTATCTATACCATGACCAACTTCACAATCTACAGTATACATTTAGTATTTATAGTTAAAACAGTTGTGGGTTGATTTGACAGTGCATTTGTCCTGCTGATTAAGGGGCGTTTCTTAGCTAACAGAAACCATTTCTCATAACACACTGCATCCAACCTTTTGTTCCAAGTGGCGCATAATGAAAACACTTCTGTTGTTACTTTGATCTGCTCATGTAGTCTAGGAAAGACAGGTGCAAATGACACTTTAACAATATTCAGTTACTATAGTAAATGGTGCTGCTTTTTACTCTAAAACTGTTGTCCTTTACCCAGTCCTATGTGCACGCACACACACACACTCAAGGACTTTTTAAACAGAGATTTATTAATATGGTGCCCGTTGTCTCTCCAATGACCTGTGGTAGATTGTGACTTTAGAAAAGATCATCTTTGCAATGCTCTTGGCCTCAGTGATGAAAATGAGGAGACGGTTTTGTGGTTTAACTTCCTTTCTAGCATGAAAAGAGGTCAGGGATATTTATTTATCAGATGGGAGAGATTACAGGCTTTGACATTCCACCAACCTTTAAGTAAAATCTAATATGCCCACCCTGAGCCAAGGGCATACTGCTATAGCTAGCTGAAAGTACATCATTGTACCTGTCCATATTTTATACTTCACCCACAAAGAATCCGTGACATTTGCAAGACATGCCCATCCATCCTCATTCTTCAATCTAACCCCAGCTAATTAAAAACTAATGTTGATATAGGGCCGCTAGAATTATGCTGCAGTACAGTGTTTAATGTTTCCCATTTTATTGTTGTTAGGGTGTGGCACTCAGCAGGGGAGAGCAGTCTGTGTACTGTAAATACTTTGAAGAGGCAGTGAGACTTGTCAGGAGGGATTATGATGGAGTGTTTTCCCTTGTGACGTGCGTACATCAGTGCTAAATCTAAAACCCTTACCTTACCACACGGCCTTAACCAAAATGCTCATGAATGTAGAGGCCCTACCAATGCAAAAAATAAAAATAAAAAAAACCAGGAGATGAGCAGACGGCCCATAATCCAACTGAATTGAACAGGAAAGACGTTGCACCCAAACTTTTATTTTATTTTTGTTGATCTCATTTCCGTTTTTTTTTTCTTTATTTGATTTGTGTTAAGGTGAAATATGAAATGGCACCAAAACATTAGTAGACGACAGTCCAGGTTGCCAAGGGCAATCATAATTTCACACAGATTTTTAAGGTTTACTTGTTACCCAAGCTTCCACAGAGAGGAAGTACAAATGTGTGTGTTATTACAGAAGCGAAAGCTTTCACACACTGTACAGAAATGTCTCTCTGAGAGTAGGTTTTCCTGTTTGAGTGCATGTACTCTACTTGTACCAGGATCAATCCATACAGGTTCCAAGAAGTAATACTGTAAATGGATCAGGACAAAGAAACGGGCAGTGCTGGCCCATTTATCTTGTAAGTCCTTGAAGACCACAATTCAAATACTGAAGAAATTGGCAATGACCTACATTTCCTGCTTCAGTCAGGCTTACATTTGTTATATACTGTAGTTAGATTGTCATAGAATGAACATATTCTAGACACCAGCTCACATTTATAGTATAAACACAATTAAAAACAAATGTCCAAGAGAACCTTTGTCTAGTAATTCAGTTTAAAAGTGCAACCCAGTATGAAGGTATTCTCTTGAAGAATCAAGTGCATTAAATACTTACAGACACTGATAAGATGGCAAGGGCTTAATTTAAAGTTGAATAATTTCTTTAATTTTAATCTATCCATTAAGGGGCTTTAACTCCAACACTACCACTCCAACCATATCATATTTCAAATGAAAAGGATCCGACAGTTTGTAGCCGATTCCATTTAATTACCCTCTTTAAACAAGAACCAAAATTATTTTAAGTCATCTCAGTTTATGAAGCCCATTCCTCTTCAAAGTCACTCCGAAGAACAGGTTGGGAATTCCTCTTCTATGAATTGCAGTGCTGCAATATTTTCTGTTTCAGTATTACTGTCTATTTCTGTCCTCTTGCACCAAGGACGGCCACTTTCCCATTACAATCTGGTGTAGAGGTGGAATTGGTGGTATAGTGTGACCTGTTGTGTTGTTCCTCCAGTCACAGTTTCACTCTCTCAAATGTATTTTCTTGATCTATTCTAGAGCACTTCTTTCACAGGAAGGACTTTTATTTAGAGATATTTTTTGATATGTTTCAAAAGTTTATATAATTTATCATTACATTTATTAGTATGAAAAACTGATGGATTTTTATATATAACTCACTGAACACCTATTCTATCCCCAAATGTAAGCGCTGCGGTGGTCTTTATGTCAGATTTAATGAGAGATATTTCAGAGATTTGTTGGCTTTCTTTGTCGTGCCATCTTCATTTTTTTCCAAGTCTATTAATATCAGCATTTTCATTCATATTTTGGCCAGAGAGAGAGAGAACACTGTCAGCTTTTAAATATTGAAATCTTCATTTATTTCCCTGGATCCTCATTAAGTTTTGCCTTCAGAGGGTCTAACGACAGCTTCTTGGGGTTATGACAAGAGCTGATGGGCTACTTTAACGATCCAACTGCTCTTCCACCTGACTGAGAGTCATGCAAATCAAGTCTACTTCCCGCAGACTGTATACTGTGATTCCATCATGTGTAGTACTTGATGATCTGATACTCATTATCATCAATCCAGGCTTTTCCTTTAAGAACTACCTATTCAGACTGGAGGCTTTTGACATTTTGTAGCTTCAAGGTGTTGCTAAGAATTTCCTTGCAGGTTGTTTGAATTGACTTCACTTTCCAACCAGTAGGCACGAGGCAAATCTACAAAGTCAAAGGGGAGGTAGTAAGTCATGAGGTTGGTTTAGCACATAAAATACATAGATTACCTTTTGTGAACCTGTCATGTGCCACCTTAAAAGCCTGACTGAAACCAAGTGGACGAGGAATGATGAGGATTGACTGGAACTCTCAGTCACTGGCTTGAATGAAACATGATGTCACTTGGGCTGTTTTTGCACCAATCACCCATCAGTGAGGCTGATTTCACACACAAAGATGTCCTCAAAAGTCACAGGGACACCAGCTGCTGTTAGTGATGTACAATATTACAGTTTGTGTGACATGACACACACGCGCGCACTCGCGCACATACACACACACACACACACACACACACACACACACACACACACACACACACACACACGTTGACATCAGAGTTCTAGAAACCCTGTTATTGTGTTATCATGCGGGGCTATAGTCTATGATCATGGTACGATTCTCTTGTTAGTGTGTCTTTTACAATTACTCGTCATTAGCACGCCATCTCCAATGA